AGATAATATATCAATCATTGTTAATCAGTATTCTTGTTTTGAAAATCTGCAATGTATCTATTGTTATATGTTACTGTTTCTGTCTTTGCTTTTGTTTTTCTCGCTTTTTATTCTTTAAAAATAAAATTATTTTTTAAAAAAGATACATGAGCTATTCTCTTAAATAATATTAAGCTCAAAACTGGGTAGGACTATGCATTTAACTACCAAGTTACAAGAAACAGAGGGGATACAATGAAAATATAGCATACACACTGAAACATAGTATCTTATAAAATCAATAGGTGCCAATAAGTTACAATTTAAAACACATCAAAAAAGAAGCAGCATGAAGGATCCGGGTGATAATGGAATTGTTCTATATGTTAATTATATTGATGTCAATATGTTAACTATATTATACTATAGTTTTTTAAGATTTTATTATTTGAGAAAAATGAATAAAAGGTATACGGTATCTCCCTCTGAGTATTATTTTGACTACTACATGTTAATCTAATAATTACCCCCAAATAAAAATTCTAATTTATAAAAAAAGAAAAGAAACGTAAGGGACAGAGGAACATGGTGAAAGATGCCACAGTGATGCAATCAACAAAACCCAAAATATAAAATATGCTGCAAGATAAGCAGTCTACTACATTTAACAAAGAAATTATTATAGGAAAAATAAAGGGCAGAAAGAACTAACCTTAAAACTAATCACTTTTAAGATTTAAAGTGACTTAAGAAACCCATTGATTAAATATGTGGACCTTGGTTAGATCATGATTCAAGCAAATCAACTATTTATTAAAAAAAAACCCTTTATGAGGCAATGGAGAAAAATGTAAAAACTGGATTATTAATTATACTGTATTAATGAATTACTAATACTAATTGGATAGCTATTTTGTATTAATGAATTACTAATTATATATGATAAATATACCATGGTTATATTAAAACAACAATACTGTCTCTCTCTCTCTTTAAAACACACACATTGGGGCCAGGGAGATGGCTCAGTGGAATAAGCGCTTCCCTGGCAAGCACAAG